CACACATACATCTTACTAACAATCATCTCATTCCTCTGGTGTGAGGGGAGGCGGGGAGAGAATTCACCAGAGACAGAAGGGAGCAGAACAGGTGGATCTATGAAATGCACTGGGTGAGAAAGGAGAGGTTTGCTGTGCTATATGTGGATCAGCTCCCTGGCTGGGCATCGAATTCATGCTTGCATAGTGCTGTGCTTCACCGTGCTGTGCTTTAACACCTTGCACAACCAGGGAGGCCCCAGACAAATGAATGGTTTACAAGGACATTTTCACTGGCCATGTTGGACTCTTGTTCTAGATTTTTCAGTGTCATAAGGAGATTCCCCGTTTTCCTCCCTAATTTGTCCGATTCCCTTTGCTGGCCCTATTCATACTATTCATAGTCTGATTCTTAATACCCTTTTATCATTTAATTATTGTTATAATATTACAGTTAGTAAAAGAAAGAAACATTTTATGAGATAAAAAGAAATCAAGACATAATAAATGCACAGAGGCTGAAGACTTTTGTTGCAGGAACAAAGTGTACCTTCAGTCTGCCTGGGGCTGTCAGTGCAGTCAGAGGTTGCCAGGAGAGAGCACCTGCCTCCCTCCAGCCCACACCTGCACCACATCCCAGGTGCTGAGGGCAAGTGCCACATCCTGCCTGTAACTGGCTCTTCTTCCTTCACTGCAATATACCCTGAGGGGCTGAGGACAGTGGATTCAGAAGCAAGTCTGTGTTTCTATTTTTGTTTGCACATAGATAAAAGTCAACGTCATATATATTGTAGGGAATTTGATTTTAAGGGTTAGGAATATTGCTGTTTTCTCATGTATCCCTATTTACTACTTTTTAAATTCCTATGCTATTTTCTCCATTGATACTTCATTTTCTTATCCATAGAATGGGAATAACAATGTTCCCCTTTCAGAGTCAGATTCAGATCTACATTTCTGCAAAGATGAAATAAGAGAAAGTCCACTTGTTTACCTGCTCACAATAGTCACTCAGCCAATTATGGATTTATTCCTATCTACAGCATCAGTTAGCATCAGTTCCTAGAGAGACCTTGGAAATGGCACACAACATTGTCCTCTCTGTAAACTGGTTTTCAATGTTGCTTGTCTTAGGAATTGGGTCAAACTATGAACACTACTGGGGGAAAGTGGACTCATCTCCCCAAGGTCCACAATGAGTCTCTCCGACAGGGGCCCAACTGGCTATGGTCCCCAAGCATGGCTGAGCCAGCTCCACAGCTTCCTGCCCTCTGCTAGCTGGCCCTGGTCCTAGGTGACCAACAATGTCACTGAAACCCAATACCATGGCCCACAAAGTACAATAACGGACCTGCTATGAGATCATGGGTGGGCAATACACCACTCAAAACCTGTGGGAGGGCCTGTTTGATAAAATGCAGGTTCCCGGGCCCCATCCCAGCGGCTCAGACTGGGCAGGTCTCTGGTGAGGCCAGACCACATGCATTCTGGCAGCATGGGGTGTCCTGATGCTGGCCAGGACTACGCCCTGAGAGACAGTAGGCAAAGTACAGCCAGCACACATTATCTACTTTTCTGGCACTTTTTAACTATAGTTACTACTAGCTCATTAGCATCTTTTCTGAATGGTGAGAACTGCTGGATAAGAGATCCCTGGTGTCTCTCCAAGGTCCCCTCACCTTTGCCCCACAGGTGCTCTGACAATTGGGAGGCACCAAACACCATTACCTGCTGCCTTCAGAAGCCTCCCCAGGACCTTCGTCCTAACTCTACTTCCTAATCCGCTCAGTCCTGTGCTCAGGTTATTTTAACACCATCACATATATTGGAAAACTGGGGCATGGAGGAGGTGCCGGCTGCCTTGTCCAGATGCAATAGGAAAGAAGAAAAAGTGTACAAAATATGTTTGGTAAGTCCGGGGACCTTGCTAATTTTCCCCACTACTGTCCGACGTAATCCAACACCGAGATTTGTTTTGTTTTGTTTCTCCTAGCATGGCCTGGCATGTTCCCTTGACCTCATGAGTGGTTACTCTGACAATGTGCAGATGCCATCTAAACGAGTATGCTGAGATCTGATCTGTGATAAGAGGGAACAAGCCCCCGGGTCACGCTTAGATGTCAGAGATTTCTCATGAGCAGCCTTGGGAACTGGGGAGGTTCTCTTGGAACAGCCTTAAGGACACCTGTTTGCTTCACTTCGATGTCCCAGTCCCAGTCCTCACACTTTCGGGTAGCAGAGCCAGAAGGTCACAACCAGAAGGCGACAACCAGAAGGCCATGCAGAGCCGGACCTGGCTCCCCCTCCAGGGCTAGTGTGGGGGTCCCAGCTGGCCTTGCCCACGAAGGCACTGATTTGGTGTGATGGCGCTAGAGTGTGCCTCTTTCTCTGCAATATGTTCACCCCCCCAGAAGCTGCCTGCTCCCTAATGCCCCTGAAGAGTTTGTATCTTCACTGAGGCCACAGAGGCACACACAGAGGCCAGGCAGCTTTGTGGCTGGGCTGAGGGGGCTGGTCACCCCCCAGGTCTGCTGCAAAGCTCAGAACAGCCGAGGCTGTGGCAAATGTCTCTGTTGGAAGATTCCATATGGAAGATGGATAAAGGTCCTGGCAAGGTCACATGCCTCCAGAGATTTCTTTACAAATGAAGGTATCTCTTCTCTGCTCTGGCTCCACTGAATCCTGCTCACAGCACAGTGAAAATGGCCTCTACATCAGGTGCCCAGAGGGACCCTCCTTTTCCAACAGTGAAGTCAGCCCCTAAACTTCTCAACAAAGTTTGCTTTACATCCCCCAGAAATGTGACCACTGAAACTGTACTTTATCCTCACTGTTGAGTAAATAATCAGAATTCTCTTTACCCCAAAGGTGTTCCATGTCATGAGCTGTCAGACCTGAGTCAAAGAGGTTCTTAAGGTGGGAAGAATAGAATTACTCTGAGCAAAGGAATCTAAATGCCAGTCAGTCACTGCAATTATGGTCTTGATTTTTATTATAATTACGTTCTTTCAGATAGATGCTGTGCACAGCTTGCCCTTTTCCAGACACAGAGTGTCCACTTCAGTTGCTCAGTTGTGGGAGCAGCTGAGACAAGGCCCCAGGCCCCCGATTTATCCAGGGCTCACCCCTACCCTGTCCTCTAGCACCCCTCCACACCCTTTATCCTGTGATTACTCTCTGCTCTTGGAACAGGCCACACTGTCCTAGTGGAAGCCAAGATACAATATCCATCCTGTTGTAAAACTGACCAATCAAAACATAGCTCTGAAGTGACAGGCCCAGCGCCTGCAAGTGGGGGACTGTAGGGGGTAAAGGCTTTTCTCAGCAGCTGGGGCCCTGGGCACTGCGGGTGGCCCATCCTCCTTTGTCTGAGAAGGGGCAGGACTGAGACAGAGAGAGGGTTAGGAGCATCCATTTGGCTCATGGGAAAAGCCTGAGTTGCCCCAAACGTGTGAGAAGCTGGGTCTCTTGGTGCTCCTGACCTTCACTTTCCTAGGGAACACTCTCTAGCTAATTCCCAGCATGACTGGTTGATGCTTTAAATGACTTGTCTCAAGGGCAGGCAACTTCTCAGCCTCAGGGGTCTTCTTCAGAGCGTATCCCCCACACTGAGAGCAGCTGGCCACACATCTCTCCACATCCTGCTGTGTCCCTGACCCCCCCACCCCCTATCCTAAGCACACCCAGCACAGGGTGTGTTTTCCCCCAGGCCTGGCTCCACCCTGGTTCTGCCAAATCTGGGGGTCCTTCTTTCTCCCTGGTTCTTGCTTGTGAGAAAAATCATAAAAAAGGCTCAAGCTGGACATGGAACAACCACTTGGATGACTCCACAGAGAAGTTTCCTGCTAGTCCTCCCCCAGTCACTACCATCTGGAAAGGGGTCTACTATGCAGAGAGAAGCAGACTCTCTTATCCCTGCACCCCTGTTCTTGCCTGGATGGGCCTCTGGACCTGTGCTGCTAAGAAGCACTTACTTCCAGGATCGCTCCACTCTCCCCTTGTCCCTGGTGGTAGGAAAGGAAGCGTGTGGAGCAGGGGAAAAGAAAGTGCATAAAGGGTCTGTCTTCTCCTCAGACAAACTGAGTCAATACAGAAGCTGGCAAGAAGCAGTGACAGGCCACTGGTGGACTTGGCGAGGGGATCTGTTTTCAGGCCAAGAGAAAGAAATGTCTCAAACAAAGACCTCCCGGGCCAGGACCTGCTATTTGCAGCCAGGTCTCAGAATCTCAAGTGTTAAGATGTGGTCACTGTGCCCTGAGAATGCCCAGGTGCCCTGCAGACTCTTTAAGGCCTGTGGGACAGCTGCCTCTCTGATTTGCTTGGATAATGTTGGTGGGATGGTGGGGGGAGGAGGGGAATGCCAAAGCCTCAAGCTTTAATTGGAGAATATAAATGTCTTCCTTTGAGTAATGAAAATGAGAACATAGGCTACTTCTGAATCAATGCTCTTCATTTGTTAGTGAAAATCTTTCAAAGCCTGGCTGCATGAAGGCACAATAGGAGGCTGCTTTGCAATGAAAAGGCCTGGGAACCACCACCCTCAGCCCTCACTATGGGAAGGAAGGTGCCCTGAGTGGACCCCCTCCTCCACCTGAGCATTACTCTGGGATGAATGTAGCACAGACAGGCTGCTGTGTAATGAGCACCTGCTTCATGGATCTTTTGCAAAGAAACACCTCCTCACCTCTGCCTGCGTTCACAGAAAATTCCACATCCTTGCTGGCGGCTCAGAGCATCACGTCAATCCAGCTGGGCAACCCCAAGTTACTGCCTGTCCCAAGGGAATGCCTGCTTCCATCAGGCTGCCCTCTTTCCACGGAGAAGGCCACCCACCTTGTCCTGGGGGTCCCTGAGAAGTCTCCCCAGGCTGAGATCAGGAAGTCTTGAGCTCCTAGGAGGCACCCTGACCCTCCAGGCCTGTTCTACCACCATGAAGTACAGACCTCTTGGAGACCATGATGCTGAACAGGCCTGGAGGGCTCTGTTTCTCCTTGGCCTGGATGTGACGAGAGGGACCTTACCTCATGGGACAAGTAGAAGGCCGCGATGCCCAGAGGCCAGAAGCAGCAGAGCATGGAGAAGACACTGAGGCCCAGATGGTCCCTCGGGGGCATCATGAGGAAGTTGTCCTCGCTCTCTGTGTCGCTGGAGTAATCGCTCTGAGGGACAGGAGAAGAGAATATTAATACACCCCCAATGACTCAAGTGTGGGAGGAGAGCTGGGCTCAGAGCAAGTCCTCCTGAAGGTGACTGTAGCTGCTGGCCAGTGGGCACCCGTTAGAGAAGTCCCCACTGAGAACACGCTTAGCAAGAACAGGGAGAAACACATCTCAAGTGCAGCGCTTTCACATCATTCCACAGAATATAAAATCCTATGGAGACCCTGATATCATAGGACTTTGGGGGTGGGGCCTGGGCCCCAGGTGCAGGCTGAATCCATGATGAAGGGGCCTGGGATCGCTCCACCTGCACAAGCAGTGTGCAAAGACCTCAAACTGGTTTTCAGGACAACATAGGGATGTTGTAGGGGAGGGGACACTGTCCTTGGCTCTGCTTCATCCCTTAGATGCTGATCTGTGTAAGGCTGGGACTGGGCCCTGGTCTTGACCCTGGTGCCAGAGGCTTCTTCCCAAGGAGCTGATGGCTGCTCTGTGAGAAAGCTCTTTTGTGACCAGGACATTGGGTGGGCTGCTGGACTCAGCAGAGGTCTGAGGAGAAGCTCCCAGGGAGTCTCATGCAGATGTGGGGACTTGGTACAAGGATTGTTAAAAAGAAGCTTGGATGATGTCAAAACTCATCAGACCATGAACAGCCCTAAGCCTGAGGGTGGAGCTGCTTTGCTCCTTACCAGTGGCTTCACGTGCCGGGCCCTCCATCGTGAATTTTCTCTCATAACAGGGCACACTTAGGCTGACTCATCCAAAACCCAGGGCTATTAAATTTATGTGCTTATTTTATACAGAGATGGAAAGGTATTTTACTGTATTTTTTTTTCCTAAAAAAAGAAAAAAAGAAACTTTTTTCCCTTAAAAGAGAATCATTAGCTTCTAACTCCCTTTGCGGGGGGCTGTTAAACACCTGGCTCTCGTGTCACTGGAGACAACTGGGTCACAGCAGTGCATGCTGGCCACTCCCTCAGGGGGCTTTAGAGGGGGGCAGCTACTTGAGGCCAGTCACCTTGAGAGTAGCTCTCAAGGATCCCAGCCCCACCAAGTCACTGAGACAGGACCAGCAGCACCCGCGTGCCTCCCCTGACATTCCTCACACAGACCCAGATGAAGCCCACTTGTGACGATGGGTGTCCTTTTCTATTGTTGCTAATTAAATGCACACAAGACTGCCAATCGGAGCGCTAATCAGCACACAGACAGCCGCAGTGCTGCAGTGAAATGATGGAAGCTTCCTGTGAGGACTGTTTTTGTCCTAGAAAAAACTGGAAAATCCTGAAGGGCTCGCTCAAATCACAAAGATTTTCTCTGGAGGGTTTCATTGAAGGAGTGAGGGTGCATTGTCTGCAGAGAGCCTGTCCATACTGTGCACACACACACTCATGTACACAATTACACACACGTACACTCAAATACACAGACACATACATAAACATGTACATGTGCAAACACACACACACATACACACATCCCTCCAGGCAGGGGTGCTGGGCATCCCTCTCAGAGAAGATCAGCTCCATGCTGCCTGAGAGTAGCCATTGTCGTTCTCTGTCCTGCACGGGTGTCATGGTGGCTGGGAGGGCGTCTTCCCCAGGAGACTGCACAGTCTCCCTTCTACAAACACTGCCTGCACAATTTCTGTTTACCCTAAAATGATCATCCCCTGTCAGAGAAGGGAACTGAGCAGTCTCTGGGATGAGAATGTGGCCAAGGGCTGCCCTCCAAGAGGAACAGGGCCAGCCCAAGAGCACAAAGGATCTTAGACCTAAGTGAGGGGTTGTGACACTGAAGATGGAATCTGAATGTCTTCTGCACAACAGCCTTCAGCCTCTCACTCTGCAGTCAGGCCACCCGAACAAGCACGAGGCAGGGGTGGGTGCACTGAGCTGCACTTGAAGGGCCTCTGCAGGATGCTGTGAAGGCTTGGGCTAAGGGAGGGGCTGAGCAGGGTGACCCCAGGGCAGATTGCACCCCAGGAGTCAGCCCTTCTAGTCTTCAGCTGGGACCTTAGCTTGCGAGCGCCCCCTGATGGTGAAGACCCTGAGATGTGCATCCTCACAGCAGCAACTCCGTGGTTGTGTTTTGTTTTCTGTGGAGATTCATTTCATTTATTTTGGTTGCAAAGAATTTTTGTTTTTAAAGATTTATTTATCTATGCATATAAAAATGGGGCCAGAGGTGCAGGGGGTGAGAAGATTCACCAGAGATAGAGTGGGGAACATAACAGGCAGGTCTACTGAGATACACTGCTGAGGGGAGTAGCAGGTGAGACAGGAGAGGTCTGCTGTGCGATGTGGGTCAGCCCCTTGGCCAGGGATAGAAATCGTGCTACAGGAGCTTCGGATAGCATCATAATGTTGAGACTTAACTTCTTGTGCCACCATAGCAGGCCCTACACAGACTTTTATATACCTGATTTGGTTAGATACTCATAGCAACTCTGGAGATAGATCAAGTTATTGTTATTTATTATTACTTCTGTTTTACAAGGGACAGGGTTGGGGTTGTCAAATCCCAGACCCACCCAATTAGTGGTTGCTCCTTCCAGAGCTCTGTATTAAAAGCTATGTCTGGATATCAATACTTTGCTAGAAACAAAACCCCTATTTGACTCAGCTGCTTCTTGTCCAGGGGTGAGGGGTCTTTCCTCAGCTCAGGATCCTGATGACTATGCTTCTTGGCTCGTGTGTTTTGTGATGCCCCTACTGGGCTGGGCAGCAGCAGCTGGGTTTTCCTGATTGAGGAATCAGTGTCCTGTGAATGAGTGCCTCAGACCACACATGCAAGTTGGCAGCCTTCACCCCTCCCCCCATCCCTTCAGAAACTGCTTGCATCTACATGAGAATCTCCATGGAGCAAAGGATTAGTTTACAGGGCACTCCCCCAAGTTTTCACAGATTTTTATTTAGAAGCACAAGAAAACCATACTCTGTAAATTGCAAAGTTGTGGCTACATGACACTAAAATAATTAGTCAATTTTGAGTAAAATGGATTTTAAAAATTCAGACAAATTACAGAGCAGACCAAAACATCCTTGCTCTTTTTATGCTCTCTCCTCCATCAGCGGGTGCTCTGTGGCTATAAGTGGCCGTGGGCATGGTGCCACCAAGCAAGTAGGAGAGGAGATGAGACCAGCCTGGGAGGCTATGAAGATGCCAATAAAACAAGGAAAAAAATACACACAGTCACCAACACCACGAAATTCATCAGGCCCAGCAGCTGTTTTGAAAATTCTTCTTCATGGGTCATTAGACTGAAATATCTGAAAATGCTCCAAAGGAGTTACATGCATGTGGAGGCCTCCCTTCCGAGCCAAACTTTTGCAGGAAGCAAATGCTAGAAGGCAGCAAGGCAGGCACCCAGCAGGCTGCAGGTCCCGAAGTGGCACCTATCTGTTTTCCTCTGTCCCATTTTCCTTAACTCTACGCAGACAGGCAACTCTAGGTAGACAGAGTCCCTCTGGTGTCTTCTTCTTGGTATATTTTAATAAAATGATCTCAGCGTGGTACCCAGTGCTTCACACTCAACTTGGCTCTCCCTCAAGGGGTGTGAGAGAGCTCATTTTAGGGGTACGATGCTGGGGTTAGCCTTGGTCTCTCTCAAGGCTAACTTTCACCTACTGCTCCCGTCTGTCCCCAGCACTGTCTTCCTTTGCACCCCCTGAACTTCTTTCTCTGCTTGCTGATTCTGGAGGGCATGCCTCTGTGTGGCTGGACAGGGAGAGTGGAGGCCCAGAGAGCACATGGCTCCCAGAGTGGGCTTCAGCTCCTCAGAATCCAAGATTTCCTATGAGGCTCACATTGTAGAAGATAGTCTGGGAAGCAAATGGCCAGCAGTCTGAGGTGTTCCTAGAAGCACTACTTTAAATCTACTAAACTGCAAGAGAATTCACATAGAATTCTATCCAGTCATGGAAAATGATGGTGTGGACTTTTTTTTTTTTTTTTTTTTTTAATACCCTGGGAAGGACTGAAGAAAACAGCAGCAAGGAGAACATATTTCTTCCAGAATGTGAGAAATCACATGCTTCAGGGTGGTGGGCATATTGGTGATTTTTTATGTTTTCATTACTGAGTGTTTTGCCAGTAGGGCAGATTCACCATTGATTTGGGAAGATAGATAAAGAATAGTGGAGCCATTGGTGGGCTCTAGACTTTAATGCTCTCTCAGCACACAGACATGGAGGCTGGTGTGGGCCAGGCAGGGGGACTGGGAGTAGGTGAGGTAACCAAGCCTCCCAGCCCCCCACAAGTTTTTCAATGCTTTCTCTGGGCTCTATGCCTTTTCCTGGTGGTCTCGCCTCTGCAGTCACTTATCCTCTTGTAGCTGCCCCAGTCTCTGAGTGATGAGACCCATAGTCTCTGGGCCTCTAGTCTCAGCTATACGCACTTGCTCCAGGTACCCATACCCATGCTGGTGTCCACAATCAGTCACACTTGCCCCCAGCCTGTGCTTAGGAGCCTCCTGTATTACCAGGGTAAAGGCTGAAGCTGATAGCCACAGAGGCTAATGGTGTAAAAAGGCTAATTGATTCCATTTGCCCAACACTGGGATTTAATTCTTTTCTACCATAAGCAAAGTTTATCTGGCAATGAACATGATAAAGGTCAGACAGCCTAACTGATGTGGGAGCTTCCACCATCCCTCCGTCTTTACTCCATGGGGAATCCCATGGAGTATGGTTTTCCATATTCAGGCTGAGAAAATCACATCAACAGGCCTGCTGCGCAAGTTGCTGCTGGTGGAGCAGGGTTGCAACCTAACATAGCATCCAAGAGAGCTCTCAAGACAAGGGTCACACCTGGCCTGGACCTTTTCTCATTTGGGTTGAAATCAGAGGCCTTAGAGCTGTTCATATGTCCAGTGTCGATGCTTGGGGTAGTGATTGATGCATACAGCTATTTAAACTTAAATTAGTCAATTAAATATAACTCTGTGCAGTTCCTCAGCCACACACCAACAGATGCCAGCCCCTCACATATTGGATATT